TGGGATGGTTTGGGTTGGAAGGACCTTCAAGCCCACCCAGATGATCCCACCAGATGATCTTCAAGGTGCTGCCCCATCCCTGGAGTGTTCCAGGTATCTGATGTGGGGCTTGGAGCAGCCTGGGCTGGAGGGAGGTGTCCCTGCCCAGGCAGGGGGTGGATCTAGATGGTCTTTATCATCCTTCAAACCCAACCCATCCCATGGTTCTCTGTTCACCCTTGGTCAGCCCAACCACCACAGAACAGTTGGGGTTAGAAGGGACCTCCAAGACCCTCCAGCCCCCAGTGGCTGAAGCCTGGAGGGGAGCAGAGCTCCAGCAGCTCCAGCCTGGCAACCAGAGCCAACCCACCCCCAAGCAGTTGGATGAAGCCAACTCAAACCACTTTCAGGTGCTCAGAAAAAGACCTCCTCTTAAAACCCCACCTCGTGCAGGCTCTCCCAGCCATGTCCTCACCTCCTCAGCTGTGCTGATGAACCTCCTGGGGGTCTTCTTGGGGCTGAGGAGGCTGCGGCGACACGAGGAGCTCCAGGCCGGGCTCTGGGCGGGTTTGATGGGAAAGGCTGAACCATGGACGTGGTGGTTGGACTTCCCTACAAAGCTGTTGGGTGTCCCACTGCCAGGGGAAGGAAAAAGAGTCACTTTCATTCCATTCCAGGCTTCTTTTCATCCCCAACCTCCTTCTGAGGCATCCCAAATAAATCAGGATGCTGGAAGGGGTTGGGGGAACCTTGAAGATCATCTAGATCCAACCCCAAGAACCACCAGTCCTTTCCTTTCTGGAGGGAAACACCTCAAACCATTCCCTTCACTGGGAAGCAGGGAAAAGGGAGCTCAGGAAGGACTCAGACACCAAGGTGGACAAGAGAAAATAGAGGTGATGCTCTTAATGGCCCTAAAAAGCTCCTCTGGGTTGACTGCCAGCATCAGGAAAGGAACATTCAGACACCTTCTACTCCTGGTCACCAACAGACTCACAGAACCATGGGTTGGGTTGGAGGGACCTTGAAGACCATCTAGATCCACCCCCTGCATGGGCAGGGACACCTCCCACCAGCCCAGGCTGCTCCAGCCCCAGCCAACCTGCCCTTCAACACCCCCAGGGATGGGGCAGCCACAGCTTCCCTGGCCCAGGCTCTCCCCACCCTCCCAGCCAACAAGTTCCTCCTCAGCTCCAACCTCCAGCTCCCCACTGCCAGTTTCAAGCCCTTCCCCCTGGTCCTCTCAACCCCAGCCAAGACCCAGGTGACCCAGCTGTGGACAGAAATGGGTGCTTTAAGCAGCAGCTCAAGGCTGAAGGGCATCATCATCATCACCCTGATACCACGAGGTGGCACTGCTGGACCGAGGAGACCCAGCCTGGAAAACCCCCCCCCAGGCAGCTCTTCCCAGCTCTGTCCATGTCCATCCAGGCACCACAACGTGGTTGAAGCTCCCCTGGACATACTGGGATCATCCCCACCCTCAGGATCACCCCCCAGCCCACCCAAAAGGATGGGACATTTTTCCTCTTGAAGTTCATTTTCATAAAATCATGGTTTGGGTTGGAGGGACCTTGAAGCCCACCCAGTCCCACCCCTGCATGGGCAGGGACACCTCCCACCAGCCCAGGCTGCTCCAGCCCCAGCCAACCTGCCCTTCAACACCCCCAGGGATGGGGCAGCCACAGCTTCCCTGGCCCAGGCTCTCCCCACCCTCCCAGCCAACAAGTTCCTCCTCAGCTCCAACCTCCAGCTCCCCACTGCCAGTTTCAAGCCCTTCCCCCTCATCCCACCCCTCCTGCCCTTGGCCCAAGTCCCTCCCCAGCTTTCCTGGAGCCCCTTCAGGCACTGGAAGCTGCTCTGAGGTCTCCCTGGAGCTTCTCCTCTCCAGGTGCCCAGGGCTTTGATCTAGATGATCTCCCAGGTCCCTCCCACCCAAACCACTCTGGGATCCCACGATTCTAAACCCCAAATCCACCCATGGATCCCCCCAACTTCTCCCCTTCCAACTCCTTCCCCTCAGTCTTGATCCCAATGATTTGAGGGGATCAAATTCCCCCCTGGATCTGCCCCCCACCCCCACCCCAGGAACCTTCAGGGGGGGTTGTTCTTACCTGGAGTTTTTCCGAGCCTCCAGGTAGGACCCTCTGCTCCCCCGGGGCTTCTGCAGCCCCCAGCCCAGGGGGGCA